AAAGAAGTCTAGAAAGTCACTAAAATGTCTGCAGCAATTATAGGTGATAATACTGAAAATCACTTTAATTTTCTTGTCTTTGTTTACCTGTATTTTCCTATTTTGTCTATAAAAAGCATGTACTACTGCTCTGACATAAAGTTTAGAGATGTCTAGTCCTCTGGGCTTTTCAATGTTTAAGATAACTGTTCTTATATTTTTAGGGATAGAGAACACTTGGGAATTCTGACGCCTTAGGCTTCATATACCCATATGAAACATGTAAAGGTCATATACAACTGTAGGGGCTTGTGGATCCCTTGAATCTGGGGACTACAAATCTATTGTGTAATGACTTTTTAAAAATATTTATTCTTAAGTTTTAGGTGGACACAATATCTTTATTTATGTGGTGCTGAGGATCAAACCCAGTGCCTCGTGCATGCTAGGTGAGCACTCTACCACTGAGCCACAACCCCAGCCTAATTTAATGACTTTAAAAAAAAAATTATTTTTTAGTTATAGTTTGACAAAATACCTTTATTTTATTTATTTTTATGCGGTGCTGAGGTTCGAACCCAGGGCCTCACACATCCTAGGCGAGTGCTTAATCACTGAGCCACAACCCCAGCCCCTGTGTAATGACTTTTAAGCTAGGAGAGATTAAGCAACGACCCCAGGATTGTGCTGTTGCTGCTGACTGACAAGGACACATGGAGTCCATGTCAGCTCCCTGAGGTATCTTCAGTCACCTTAGGATCTAGCATGGTCAGAGCCTGGGCAGATCCTAGGCAAACAGCAGACAGGAGGGCCAGGAGGAGATGCTTGGTGCAGCCCAGCCTCCCTGCCACCACCTGCTAGCCTCCTCAGAGAGGGCTTGAGGACTGTACCAAAATGAGCCCCACTGGTCAACACTAGCTTTTCCTGTAAGGCTTCCTTACTCAGGATTCCCAGCAAACAAAATTCTAAGTTCTATAAAGCAGAGTTGGTACTGTTTTAAAAATCCAATTAATATCCTAAGTAGAATGGGTGAGAGGAGGGTTTTATCTGTGTAAGTAGTAATATGTTTATTTCCCTAAACAAGTACTAGGAGAAAAAATACCTCCTTTTTGCTTTCCTTATTTTGATCAACCTCGATGTCAATGGGGTTACTTCCATTTGTTTCTTCAAGTTCATCCTCACTGGAAGACAAGAACAAGTTAAGGAAAGGTTATTCTATATTAATGCTATTTCATGTACAAACATAGCTATAAATTGATTTAATGGAAAACTTCATATAAAATTACTATATGTTTTCAGACTGCTGAGAAACATATTTATTGATTTGTGGCACCAGGGATGGGCCCCAAGGGCACTTTACAATTGAGCACATCCCCAGCCCTTTTTATTTTGAGACAGGGTCTTCATAAGTTGCTGAGGTTGGCCTTGAACTTGCCATCCTACTGCCTTAAATTCCTGGGTGCCTAAGATTAAAGGCGTGAGGGCTGGGGCTGTGGCTCAGAGGGAGAGCACTTGGCTGGCACGCATCGGGCACTGGGTTTGATCCTCAGCACCACATACAAATAAAATAAAGGTATTGTGTCCACCTACAACTAAAAAAATATACATTAAAAAAAGATAATTACAGGCATGAGCCACTGCACATCACAGGAACTCTATTTTTTTTTTAAAAATGAGTCTCATGGAAGTCAAGCAGCACGCCTGATTTGTCCAGTGAAAACCGACAGAAGACTGGTGACGGCAGGATACTAGGCTTCAATTCCTCCCACTGGACCTCCAGAATCCACCCCAGCTGAACACAC